GTTAACCCAGACGCTTCATTTGGGTGTCCCTACCCCTATAACTGAACAGCTTTGAGTGAGACAATTTTTAATTCAGTGAAATCTGGCTTTGTCACTAATAGGGATATTCATAAGATGAATACTTGTTCCCTTTTGGAAAATGGCTACAGAATATTTTAGGTGGTTTTACTCTGTGTGCTGTGACCTAAATAATAGCATAAATAATAACAGAAAGGCTGTTTCTGTAGCTGTTCTGTTGGAATTCCAGCAGCTGAGAGAATTCTCTGGCTGATTTATTCTGAATTATGCTTCAGTAGACACTTTCTGCCACAATTGCTTGCTTTGCAACACTGCTGGCTGTTCTTTATTTTAATTCTGAGCTTTGTGCTTTAATGTCTCACCTTGCAGGGCTCAGGTTTTTTAAGCCTCATTAAATCTGATTGCTTATTTGATCTTTGTTGGATTCATTAGGTGAATATAACTAAATTCCTGCTAAAAACTGTGTAGGACTTGGAGTTAGTGATGTAAATCTGTAAGAATACAAATTATAGCAGAGTAGATATTAATATGGCCATTCATGCCAGGCAAAACAGTACACACTAAGTTTCTCAGTGAGGCAGTATGTGAAGGTAGCGAAGATGGTTTGGTTTATTTATTTCTTCATTTATTTTCAAATCAAAGCTTAAGGTGAAGTCAAGAGTTGGGTTTGGCCCAAATATCACCACTTTCCAGTAATTTGAAGTACATTTATACTTAATTCAATCTTCTCAGTCAGTTTGTAGAAAAACAGGTACCAAAACTGGACAGTCACTTGACACCACCACACCTGGGAGGTTGTGACTAACTCAGGTCCACAGTCGAAGCTGCTCGTGAAGTGTTGTGAGGCTTCAAAGCACCGATGGTGGTCATACCTGATATATCGGTATTTCTTTCTTGGTTTTGCTCCTGTCTATCAGTTTATCTCCATGATGTCAAGTCATGGGGTTTATGAAAGGAAATAGAACATGGGGCATTCCAGGAAAGCCCCATGTTTTATCCACTGCTCCCACAGCCACCCTGGGCAGTGCGTGCCCAGCCCTTGGACAGCAGCTCCCACCCTTTTGTCCTGCCTGGACTTCGCTGTTTTGGGAAGGTTTAGGCAGCACTCCCCACAGCTGCAGGAGGGCTCTGTGCTACAGGTGAGTACTCTCTTCGTGTTTGGTTTGTGAGTTCTGTTTCTAAGTTATGTTATTCATTTAAGTTAAGTTTTTTTTTAATTAAAATTGCTGGCCATCTGTGTAAGAAGTCAGTGGGGAAATATGCATGGGAGCATAAAGAATATATTTTAATATTTAAGGACAATCCTAAACATACATATTTAAAAAAAACCCAATGCAACCATTTTCTTCTCTCATGGACTAAGATGAAGATTGACCTCTTAGAACAAAAAATATGGAAAAAAGGCTGTACTCTGGCTATATCAAGGCAGGTGGGAAGTCAAGAAACTTAAAAATTATAAAAGTGGGCAGTTTGGGTGTTTTAAAAGATGTGACTATAAACAATGGTTTTTTTTTTTTTTCTCTTTAGAAAACTCACTTGTATGAACAAAACTGTCTAATCTCCATGCAATATTTTTAAAGATACTGATTGGGTCTTCTTTCAATACATTTTCTATCCCGTAAAACCCATGAAATATGGGTATTCAGCAGCTTTGAAAAGTGAGCCTTTGCCTCTCACTGGGAATGCACTGTCACCAGAGCTCATTTATTATTAATTCTTTATCTAGTATGTGTTTCGATGCTATTTTATTGAAGTTTAATTTGGTATTTTCCTGTCTATAAAAAAGGACCACTTGATTAAAGTTCAGGGTTGCTGCTCACAGATAACCTGATAAAGTTCGGATATGGAAGTATTGGTGGTCACTCCGTCACAGCTACCGTAGGGCTTGTGATTTTGGTTTAGCTCAGCCCGACGTGAGCGACCTGTGCCACGTGGGTCTGGGTGAGCCTTCTAGGCTGGTGCCAGCAGCTGGGTTTAGGCCGGGAATTGGCAAGAGTCCAGGTTTAGGTCTGGAGTTTCCAAACTTAAAGAGAAGCGCGGGGTTTGGAGCTGTAGGTGCGGTCGGTACCTGGCCAGAAGGGAGAGCTCGGCTCAGCAGCTCGGGGAGGGGGGCTCCGTGGGGCTGGAACACACGGACGGGGCGGGACGGGACTGGACAGCTGAGCACGGTCCGGCCCTGGACGGCCCTCCCGGCCTTTGCCCGCGGCCGAGCAGCGCTGCTGCCCCGAGCTCCGCCCCGCTTGCCGGCCCCGCTGCTTATCGGGTCCTGCCCCGCCTCTGCTCGGNNNCTTTTATCTTAGCTGTTGTTAACCCAGACGCTTCATTTGGGTGTCCCTACCCCTATAACTGAACAGCTTTGAGTGAGACAATTTTTAATTCAGTGAAATCTGGCTTTGTCACTAATAGGGATATTCATAAGATGAATACTTGTTCCCTTTTGGAAAATGGCTACAGAATATTTTAGGTGGTTTTACTCTGTGTGCTGTGACCTAAATGATAATAGCATAAATAATAACAGAAAGGCTGTTTCTGTAGCTGTTCTGTTGGAATTCCAGCAGCTGAGAGAATTCTCTGGCTGATTTATTCTGAATTATGCTTCAGTAGACACTTTCTGCCACAATTGCTTGCTTTGCAACACTGCTGGCTGTTCTTTATTTTAATTCTGAGCTTTGTGCTTTAATGTCTCACCTTGCAGGGCTCAGGTTTTTTAAACCTCATTAAATCTGATTGCTTATTTGATCTTTGTTGGATTCATTAGGTGAATATAACTAAATTCCTGCTAAAAACTGTGTAGGACTTGGAGTTAGTGATGTAAATCTGTAAGAATACAAATTATAGCAGAGTAGATATTAATATGGCCATTCATGCCAGGCAAAACAGTACAC